GAGCAGGTAGTGAGCTTGAACTGCCAACCTCGCAGTTCAAATTACTGCAGTTCTGATGCATTAGCCCACAGCACCACACTAGGACTTGAAAACACAAGCCTTGAAAACCCTATGGGACAGTTCTATTCTTTTACTTGGGATCACTAGGAGTCAAAAAGAACTCGAGGACACCCAACAACAAACAACATGTACTGACTACTGACTATATGCTGCACTAAGCACTTCCATGTTTGCATTATAGCAAGCCTGTGGGATTCCATTTTAACAGACAGGAAGCTGCAGCTCTGATTAAGTACAGAGCTCAAGGTTACCAGTAATAAGAGGTGGGTTCACACTCAGGCTGGAAGAAGGTAAGGGTTCCAAGAGCTCCTTTGCCCTTCCTCCCTGACCATCTGGCAGCAGATACCGAGCCTGGCAGCCATGTTTCCTTGCAGCTAGTCCCCACCCCTGACCCCATTAATAAAAACCCCTCCCAGACCTCCCTGTCTCCTTCACTCAGGAGGGAATGCAGTGTTTGCTGCCCTGTAGTCTTGTTTCCAAGCGAACCAAAATAACTGAAAAATTGTCATCTTGGGAGATCAGATCAGAAATGAAGAAAAGGGGCTATAATTTACCATCCTCATCCTGTTGGTCTATCTTGTTATGGGACTACTGATACAAATGCGGCCACAGCCTAATTCTTCCACCATTTTATAGTGTAGATTCTCATAGCAGGTAAGTGGACTGCGTAGCTGGGTGTGCCTCCCTAACGAGGAACATGTGAGGAAGTATTTCCCCACTTTGGGATGGATTCTTGGGTCGTGGCAAATGGGTTCTCCATTTTCTGGCTTGCTTGTGGTTCCCTGCCCAGCTGCCTCTGGGACAGCCGGCACAGGGAAGGTCTGGGCACAGGGTACTGTGAAGCATGAGGGTGTGGCAAATCGTATCTACATCTGACTGAGGGCCAAAGCCAGATGCAAGCGATTTTGTTGGCTTGTTTTAATTCTCCCTCATCTTAGATTATCCACGCCCTTCCTCTCTCTTCCCCATTCCTGTGGACAATTAAGAGCTAACTATAAGAAAGATGAGGCTTTCTGCTCCTGTAAAGATTTACAGCCTTGGAAACCCTGTATAGGGTCACTATGAGTCGGAACCTTCTTGTTTGTTCTCTCAAGAACTTTTTGAGAGGAAACATGATAAAGGAAAATATGTATATTCTCAGTTCATTACTTTGTGATTTCATATTATTTCCCCTACGTATCAGTTAGGATACTTGTTACCCAAACAAAATGGAAAATCCAACAGTGTTATAAGCCGTAAGAACATTTTCATTTTTTTACCAAACAGTTCCAGCAGTTGTTGGTTCCAGGGCTGGCTCAGTGTTATCAAGAACACAGACACTTATGCCCTGCTAGTCTGCAATTCTTAGCATGTTGACTTTTCATCATCATGCTTATTACCTCATGGTTACAAGATGGCTGCTGCAGCTCCAGGTGTCATCATACTACTAGATCCAAAGACAGAAAGAGAAGAGGGCAGGAAAAGGTATTTCTTTCTCTTTTCAGGGAAGAAAATCTTTCCAAAGGGCCTTCTTGGAAAACTTCTTATTTCTCATTGGCTAGAACTAGGGCACATTCTCACTTTTAAACCAATCAATGGCAAGGAAGAACATGGTTGCCAAGCTGGCTTAGACCAACTATGATTCATTCCCTGCAAGTTAGGGTTCTATTATCAGGAAGACTGAGGTAATGGCTGTTGGCAAGGCAACATCCCCCAGAAAAAGAACAATGCCGTGCTGTTCAATTCGTCCAGTCCAAACGTTGGGGTTGGTGGTGACCTTTTCTGCTAACGCCAGTCCCATAAAGGCCCTCCACAAGCTCACTTTATTTCTTTTAACAGTTCTCCATCTCCTCCGTAATCTGCTATGTGTGGGGTCTTGTTTTAGCATTTTCTACCAGGAAATGAAATTGCTAATTGGCTACTGGTATGCAACTTCCATCTGCTAGCAGGAGCATGGATTAACAGGGGGTGACTCTTACCAAGGGACAGAACTGCAGTAACCTGGGGCAACATCAGAAATACATCTTCTGATGTATTTTTAGTTTAATGGTGTGGATGCTATCTTGGTCTCACTCAGAGCAAGGTTAAGCATGTGGGGTCTTCTTAGAGTAATGGCCACTTCCTGGTGACGTTGCAGAATCAGCTTTTGTTATTTGGCCTCATGTTTGTCCAATGTCCTAGTGCTTTGGGCCCTACCGGTCAGATTAACTGAAAGAAGAGACTGATCAGATTGTCTCAGCTTTTCCCTCTTACTTGGAAGGGAGAGGACTGGGAAGTGTGAAATTCAACCCACGTCTTTGTTCCTTGACTATCAAAGGGGGAAAGACTGGTGCTGGAGACTCCAGAGCTGTGCTTCAGGTATCAGTGCGCCTTTCAAACAAGATCGGAGAACTAGAGAGCAGGAGCCGTTTTCCCTGTGTCCAGTAGAGCGCCTTACTGTCCAAAGTGTCCTGTGTCTTTCCCTCTCTTCTTCAGTCTTCTTAAAGGCACACCTCTGGTCCTATCACCTCCATAAACACTCGTACTCACCGAGCCCTCAGGCCACCTACCCCCTCCTAGATTCCGCACCCTGGTCCTCTTTACCTCCCCAGCCTCCTCTGAATCCTGGTATTCTTACTGCCCTCAGCTCCCCACCTGTGACCCCTGGTCCTCCTCCTCTCACTCTGCTCCTTCTCGCTCCATCCTCTTTCCCAGCCACATTCCTACTTATCATCAAGGTTTCCGGCTGGTCCCAGGACTCAGCAGGGCCCCTCCTCTGCACTCTGTTGTACCTCCCCTCTGTCTGTTCATGTGTCTGCCTCCACACTGGAGCAGAATCCCCTAAAGGGCCAAAGCCTCCACTGACTCCTCTCGTCATCCCCTCCCACCACCATTCCACACCCTCAGCACCTACCTTCACATCTGGCTCAGGGCTTGATTCGTGGTTGGTGAATAAATAAAGGCATAATCAGTTCAGAGCTTCCTCAATGTGCAGACACCCACCAGCTCGCTCCTTGGGGTTCTGGAAGAGACCCTAAGGACTGACCTCATCATCTTGGGAGAAACCAAAGTTAGGAGGGTCTCTCTTTCTCTCCTCAGGAATCAACTACTGTGCACTGAACAAACGAGGCTGTGAGCATGAATGCGTCAACACTGAGGAGGGCTACTACTGCCGGTGCCGGGCGGGCTATACGTTGGACCCCAACGGCAAGACCTGCAGCCGTGAGTGTGCCCCAGGACAGGCACTTCTGGGGAAGTGGGCTCCAATAGCAGCCACTCACTCCGAGACTCCTGGGTTTCCTGAGGACCTAATAGTCCAACGGACTTAAGGTCTCCTGGCCTCAGTTTTATCATCCATAAAACGGGACTATTAATAATACCTGGTGATTGTGTTAGGATAAGTACTGGGCTGCTAACCACCAGGCCAGCAGTTCAAACTCACCAGTTGCTCTGTGGGAGAAAGATGAGGCTTTCTGATTCCGCAAAGATTTACAGCTTCAAAAACCCCATATAGGGTCACTATGAGTCGGAACCTGCACTTAACAATAATAACTTTATAGGGAGGTACAAAAACGGTTAATCACGCAACTGACTGCTAGCCGAAAAGTTGGCAGTTCAAACCCCCCCAGAGCTTCCTTGGAAGACAGACCTGGTGATCTGCTTCCAATCTGAAGCCATGAGCACCCTGTGGAGCATTCTGTCCCATACACATGGGTCTCCATGAAGCCAAGGTCAACTAGGCGGCAATTAATAGCAACAGTACCTCATAAATTAGGCTACAAGGACTGACCAAATCAATCCATATAACTCAGTGAGAACAGAGCACTACTAGACACATAATATGCACTCAGTAAATATTAACTATATTAAGAACATTGACTGGGAATGGGACAGGCCTGGATTCGAATCCAAACTCAACTACATATCTTAGATGAATTATTGCATTTCTCCACACCTTGGTTTCCCATCTATTAAGGCAAGACAAGAAAATAATAGTATTGATCTCCCATAAGGAGACCAATGGGGGCCATTTCAATCTCTTTACGCTGTGCCTGGCACAAGGTAAGCGCTCAGCCCATGGTCATGATCCACTATTACCGCAGAGCCATGAGAGTGGCCAGCGCCTGGCCTGGTGTCACCCTGAATTGGCACAAGTGCCAGGAAGGACAGAGCTGACCTGAGGGCAGAGCTGAGAAACGTGGGAGTTTTATGAAGCCTTTTCTTCATTTCCTTGTGTCAGAGTCACAACAAAGCTCCATTTGGTGACGTAAATGCTTGGAAACTTGCAGACTTTGCCAGCTGGGCAGCTCCATCATTTGTTATGAGGCACAGAGTCCTCTGGCTCAGCCAGCGGGGGTTGGGGGTTGGGGGTTGGGGGGCCCTGTGATCGTTGTAGTGGCTCCCTGTGGCCCTGGCATGCTGGAACGGGGGTGGGGGGTGGGGATTGGTGACAAGGAGAAAGGGCCCTTTTTGTGGCTTTCACTCAGAAAGCTGCACATCTGCTCCAGCTTTGGAGACAGAGATAGATTGTGAAGGAGCATAGTGCAGCTGTTGAGCATTTGGGTGCAAAATCACCAGGAGGGGATGGTTCACAGATGAAGTATTAGGTATCGCGGAGTCCTCAGAAAAACATTCCCCTTCAATCTTCAGGACGTTTCAGCCAGAATGTAGGTATAGTTCTGGATGTCTGTGGGCCTATGAGAAGTCAGTGGGTGCTGGGAGTTGTCCTGTTGAAGATGGAGCTGTGTAGATACTGCTTTCTTTCAGGAATGAGGGGTCTTCCTATTGACAGGAGGCTGGGCATGACCTGACTGAATCCACCAACACCACCTACGCTAACAGGTCAGCTTGTCCTGTTAGAATGCCTTGTGAGAGCATAGAAATGCTCAGAGCAGGAGCCAGAGACATTAGGGTTTCCTGTCTCTGTGGCGTCTAATAAGAAAGATCTTCTAGGCAGCTCGGAAAACTATTTGCCATTGAGTCAGTTGTGACTCATAAGGACCCACGTGTATCAGACTAAGTCTGTGCTCCACAGGGTTTTCAGTGGCTGATAGTTTAGGAACCAGGCCTTATTCCTAGATGTGTCCAGGTGGACTTGAACCTCCAACCTTTCAGTTAGCAGTCAAGCACAGAGACTCCAGTCAGCTCTAAGAAAGTACAAAGGAACTTTGAAAAGTTCATGAATATTTTTCATTCTCTTTCATTCCATTTCTCCATGAACTTTTTGAAGTCCCCTCATAGAAACCAGGATCCTGGTGTGGCACTGCAGGATCATGCACTTGACTTCAAGGTCGGTTTGAATTGTAACGTCGGTGGTTCAAACTCACAGCCGCTCTTCAGAAACCTTTTACAGGGTCACTATGAGTCAAACCAACTCAGTGGCATTAAACGACATATAAGCCAAGCCATTTGTCTAGATACCCCCAGAGAGAGCCCTGGTATTGGGCTCCCCATTGAGGGCTCAGGAAGCCCAAGGCCATTGTAGCAGCAACCTCTGAGGACTGAAGGGGAATGTTTTCCTGAGGACTCCACGGTACCTAATATGTCATTTGTGAACCATCCCCTCCTGGTGCTTTCACATCCAAATGACAGGCACTGGTTTGTGCTGGGCACTGCTGGGAAAACTTGCCATACCCTAACTCCTTGTAGCCTCACAACAGCCCCCAGAGGCAGCTATGTTCCAATCCCTGTTAAAACCACGGGAACGAGGTGGCATAGAAAGATTGCAGTAACTTTCTCTGAGTCACACAACCAATAAGTGGTCAAACCAGGATGTCAGCACCGGTGTCTGGTACCTGAGATCCTGCAAGTGTTTTCAGTAGGTGCATCTTGTTGTTGTGTTGTTGTGAAGTGCCGTCAAGTCGGTTCCAACCCATAGCGACCCTGTTTAGGGTTTCCGAGGAGCAACTGGTGAGCTTCAACTGCTCACCTTGCAGTTCAAACAGCTTTGCAGTCTGGCACATTAACCCACAGTGCCACACCAGGACTCCGCATCTAGCAGTGGAAAATTCCAGAAGACAACCATCCCAAGCCCCAAGGGAACAGAACGATGCATTTGGTCTGCCTGCACAAGGCTTTCAGCGTCTGTACCATCTCAGGGGTACCTTTGGTCCATCAAGGACACCTGGTAGGCCACCTGCAGGGCAGCTTATGGGAGCCGCTCACCACAGTTTTGTGTTCACCATCTTTCAGCATCCACTGCCCAGTGGAGCCAGCTGTGCAGCCTTCTGGTGCCAGGATCAGTCCCAAACTTTGGTTTACTTTCTGAAATTAGATGTCTGGGTTTGGGGAAAAGAAAAAAAGAAAAACACTTTTTTCATTTTCAAATTGAAATGAGTAATTCTTACTCAGCACTGTTGAGTGTGTTATTGTTGTGTGCTGTCAAGTTCAGTCCCAATCATAGCGACCCTGTATTGAGTTTTCAAGAGCGGCTGGTGGTTGCAAGTGTCCAGCTTGTGGTTAGCAGGGTATCCTACAGCACCACACCAGGGCTCCCACTCAGCATTGCTTAGCAACAATAAGTGTCCATTGGATTCTCACCACATCCCTATAAGAAAGCAATGTCACCACCCCCATTTCTCAAGTTAAAAAATGACAAGCCCAACCTCTCCTGGTTAGATGGCTAGGAAATGGTGGAGATGGGATTTGAGGCCACGTTTAACATAGGGTAGGTAGTATGGTGGCTCTGTCTGTATGATAATCACTGGATTGTGAACTGGTCAGCTGTCAGAAGCCACCATCCCCACTACAGGAGAAAGTTGAGGCTTTCTTCTCCTTGTAAAGATGTACAGCCTCAGAAACTACACAGGGTTGCTATGAATAGGACCCAAGTCAATGACATTTAACAACAACAACAACAGCAGTTTAATGTCAATTCAGGTAGATCCAGAGGCCCCTTCAAAGAAATGCTTGGTGAATTACTTGTGAAAAATTAGCTAATGAAACCCCTGTGGAGCACAGTTCTTCTCGGACACAGATGAGGTTGCTGTGAGTCAGAAGTGACTTGAAGGCAGCTGTTAGTTTGTTGATAGAACCTTCATTCTTATGGTCACTGTGAGTTAGAACTGACTTCACAGCACACAACCACCACCACCAAAAACACTCTTATCAACAGGAAGCTGTGGAACTGCAAGGCCAGCAGTTCAAATCTTTCTCAGAAGAAAGAAGCTTTCTGCTTCCATAAGGATTAACAGTCTCAGACACCTTATGAAGGGTTGCTATGGGAACCAATTCGATGGCACACCACCACCACCACCACCACCACCACCACCACCACTCTTAGCAACTTTGGACAAGCAACATGACCTTCCTGAGTCTGTTTTCTCCCTGTGGAATGGGAAGAACACATACTTGGAAAGGTTGCCGCATCACAGATCATGCACTGTGAAGGTGTGGCTGGGAGAGCAACTGTCATTCTCAGTCTTTGCTTTACTCTTCAAAAAAAAACGAAATGGAAATAAAAACGCCAACAAGGCTGATTTTCCAGCAAGGCCAGTGGCGCTAGAAGGAATGCAGCTTCCCCCAGAGCTAGTTTTGATGCCAAACCAAAAACCTACTACTGTTGAGTCTATTCCAGTTCACAGCAACTCTATAGAGCAGAGTAGAACTGCCCATTAGGGTTTCCAAGGCTGTAAATCTTTGCAGAAGCAGACGGCCACATCTCTCTCCTGTGGAGCAGTTAGCTGGTGGGTTGGTTAGCAGCTAAGTGCTGAACACTGTGACACAAGAGACCCTCGTTTGGATGTCAGTGACTTGAAATAGCCCCTAAGAAAGTTCCCCCAAGAAGGTGCAACAGGCTCCTGGGTGGCTGAAATGTTTGCTCTCTCCCCTGTTCGAAACTACCAGCTGTTCCACGGGAAAAAGATGAGACTCTCTGCTCCTGTAAAGATTTACAGCCTCGGAAACCCTGTACAAGGTCGCTATGAGTCGGCTCCGACTCCATGGCACATAACCACCACCACCACCACTCACTTAAAGGCCTCCTGTTGTGGTGCTGAAGGATTAGCGCTGGACTGCGAAACTTAAGATCAGCAGTTCAAATTCACCAGCTGCTCCTCGAGAACCCTGTATAGGGTCGCTCTAAGAACTGACTCAATGGCACTTAACAACAACGACTCACCTGAAGAGGTGGGTGTAAAACCGAGAAAACCAAATATGCTTCCATTAGGTTGATTCTGGTTCACAGTGACCCTGTATAGAGTATCTGAGTCTATAAATCTTTGTTGTCATCAAGTGCCATCAAGTTGGTTCTAACTCATAGTGACCCTGTATAGGATTTCTGAGCAGCAGTTGGTGGGTTTGAACTGCCAGCCCTTGTGATTAGCAGTCTAGTGCTTATTCTACAGTGCCACAGAAAGTCTCATCTTTCTCCTAAGGCTCTGCTCTTGGGTTTGAACTGCCAACCTTGTGGTTAGCAATTCAGAGCTTATCCTATCAGGGCTCCAATGTGAAACTGTTCACTTAAGATTAGTAACCAAGTACAAGTAAGCCTGTGTTTACCTTGCTTACTGGCACTCCATTCCTGTCAGGGATTGTAAATTTGAAGAGGCTTTGATTCTATAAGGAGGTGCTGTGGGGTTGGGAGAGAGACCTAAAAGTAGAGTCTTTGATGTGGTGAAAAATGTCTAACTGTTCACTACAGAGTAATAAGATAAGTAAGCCCATGCGTACCTTGCTTACTGAGTAATCTGATACTGAAGAAAACCCTATAGAGTACAGTCCTCAACAGTGCGTTTTTTGGTTTGGGATTGCTGTGTGGAGAGTGCCCTCTGCCCCTGATACTTTCTGGTCTGTGATGTGGCAGGGGTGGACCACTGCGCGCAGAACGACCATGGCTGTGAGCAGCTATGTGTGAATACCGAGGAGTCCTTCATCTGCCAGTGCTCAGAAGGGTTCCTCATCAATGAGGACCTCAAGACCTGTTCCAGTGAGTCCTCTTCCTGGGGAGATATTTGCAGCAGGAGTGGAACATGGGAGCCCCTTTCCTCCGCTCTTTTCTCTGCTTTAGGATGTTGTAAGGGTGGCCTCTGGGGACGCATGCAATCAAGGTGGGGGGTGGGAGGAGAGGTTCCAGCATGGTGGTGATGTCATTCCTCACTGACGAAGACTGCGATGGCTGCCTGTGCCCTTACTTGCTGTCTGGTTTTTCAGGAGTGGATTACTGCTTGCTGAGTGACCATGGTTGTGAATATTCTTGCGTCAACACAGATACATCCTTTGCCTGTCAGTGTCCCGGGGGACATGTGCTCCGCAGTGATGGAAAAACCTGTGCAAGTAAGTGTTGTGCAGTCCTGCAACATGTGAAGCCTGAATAGGTGTGCTGTGGGGTGGGTGCACCCAGGAGACTGCTCCTTCCCACGCTCCCAGGCTTCCTCCCAACACACCAGAAATAGCTTCCCCGCACCCCCATTTCCATGGTCTCTCTGGCTGCCCTTCTGAAGCAGACCTAGCTATGTTTCTTAGCTCTCACTAGTCTTCCCCAAACCAAACCCGCTGCCACTGAGTTGATTCCAGGTCATAACGACCCTAGAGGACAGAGTATAACTGCTTCATTGGGTTTCCAAGGCTGGAGTCCTGGTGTAGCATTGTAGGATAAGCACTGGACTGCTAACTACAAGGTTGGTGGTTCAAACCAACCAGCCATTCCTCAGAAACGCTATACAGGATCACTATATCGGAACTGACTCAGTATCACTTAATAACAACAACAGTCTTTACTGGAGCAGACTGCCACATCTTTCCTGTGTGGAGTCGTCGCTGGTGGGTTCCAATCACTGACCTTTCATTCTTCCACCAGGTACTCCCAACCTGGTCTAAAATGGTAATCAGCCAGCTTTGTTAGAGAGTGCCAGTTAACAACTTGACTACTCTGGTAGCGTAGTGGTTACGAATCGGACTGTGAACCTTAAGGCCAGCAGTTCGAAACTACCAGCCGCTCCGCGGGAGAAAGATGAGGCGTTCTGCTCCCGTAAAGATTTACAGCCTCGGAAACCCTGTACAGGGTCGCTATGGGTCGGATCCGACTCGATGGCACTTAACAGCAACAACAACAACTAGCCAGAAGGTTGGAGGTTTGAACCTTAGAAGACAAACCTGGCAATATGCTTTTTTTGTTGTTCTTCTTCTTCTTAAGCAGTGCTTTGCTTATCTTGGGTCTCTTTCCTTTCCATAGAACGTTTGTAATTGTTTTTTCCATCCCTCTAAAGAATGTTGTTAGAATCTGGATTGGGATTGCGTTATATGTATAGATTGCTTTGGGTAGTATTGACTTTTTCATAATGTTAAGTCTTCCTATGCAGAAGCAGGTATAGTCTTCCATTTTTGTAAGTCTCTTTTGGTTTCTTGTGGTAGTGTGCTGTAGTTTTCTTTGTATAGGTGCAATATGCTTTTGAAAACCCAGTGGAGCAGTTCTACTCTGAGCACCTGGGTTTGCCAGAAATCAAAGTACACTTGACAACAATTAGCAACACTAGTAATGTTGTTGTTGTTAGGTGCCATCAAGACAGTTTCAACTCAAAGGGACCCTATGCACAGAAGAACAAAACACTGCCTGGTCCTGTGCCATCCTCACCATCATTGCTACGCTTGATCCCATTGCTGCTGCCACTGTGCCAATCCATCTCATTGGGGGTCTTCCTCTTTTTCACCAACCATCCACTTTACCAAGCATATTGTTCTTCTCCAGGGTCCCGTCCCTCCTAATAATATGTCTGAAGTTGAGGGGTAAAGTCTCACCGTCCTGGCTTCTAAGGAGCATTCTGGCTGTACTTCTTCCAACACAGATGAATTTGTTCTTCTGACAGTCCGTGGTACTTTAAATATTCTCCTCTAGCACCATAACTCAAATGCACCAATCCTTCTATGGTCTTCCTTATCCAATGGCCAACATTCACATACATATGGTGGTGGTGGTGGTGGTTATGTGCCATGGAGTCGGTTCCAACTCATAGCGACCCTGCACAGGGTTTCCAAGGCTGTAAATCTTTATGGGAGCAGAAAGCCTCATCTTTCTCCCACGGAACAGCTGATAGTTTTGAACTGCTGACCTTGTGGTTCACAGCCCTATTTGTAACCTCTACACTACCAGAGCTCCTTAGATACATATGAGGCCATTGAAAATACCATGGTTTGGATCAGGCACACCTTAGTATTCAAACTGATGTCCTTGCTCTTGAACACTTTAAAGAGATCTTGTACAGCAGATCTGCCCAATGCAATACATCATCTGATTTCTTGACTGCTGCTTTCATGTGTGTTGACTGTAGATCCAAGCAAAATGAAGTCTTTGACAACTTCAAACTTTTCTCCATTTATCATGATGTTACTTACTGGTCCAGTTGTGAGGATTTTTGTTTGCTTTACATTGAGGTGCAACTCATACTGAAGGCTGTGGTCTTTGATTTTCATCAGTATTTTAAATCCTCTTCACTTTTAGCAAGTAAGGTTGTATCAGCTGCATATCACAGGTTGTTAATGAGTCTTCCTCCAATCCTGATGCCATGTTCTTCTTCATATAATCTAGCTTTCCATATTTTTTGCTCAGCATACAGATTGAATAAGTACAGTGAAAATATACAGCCCTAGCACACCCCTTTTCTGATTTTAAACCATGCATATCCCTTTGTTCTGTTTGAAGAACTGTCTCTTGATCTGTGTACAGGTTCCTAGTGAGCACAGTAACGTGTTCTAGAAGACCCATTCTCCTCAGTACTGTCCATGGCTTGTCATGATCCACAGTCAAAAGCCTTTTATAGTCCATAAAGCACAGATAAACATCTTTCTGATATTCTGTGCTTTCAGTCAAGATCCATCTGATATCAGCAATGGTATCTCTTACTTACTGAATCTCGCTTGAATCTCTGGCACTTCCCTGTCGGTGTACTGTTGCAGCCATTTTTTAATTACCTTCAACAAGATTTTACTTGCATGTGATATTAATGGTATTGTTAGATGATTTCTGCATTCTGTTGAATCATCTCTCTCTGAAATGGGCACAGATATGGATCTCTTCCAATCACTTGGCTAGGTAGCTAGTTTCCAAATTTCTTGGCATAGATGAGTGAGTGCTTCCAGTGCTGCACCAGTTTGTTGAAAGATTTTAATATGTATTCCATCAATTCCTGGAGCCTTGTTTTTCACCAATAACTTCAGTGCACCTTGGACTTCTTCCTTCATTATCACTGGTTCTTGACCTTATGTTACCTCTTGAAACGGTTGAACACTAGCCATTTCTTTTTGGTACAGTGTCTCTGTATATTCCTTCCATCTTCTTTTGATGATTTCTGCATCCGTCAATATTTTGTCCATATTGTTGTTAAGTGCCATCAAGTCGATTCTGACCCGTAGCGACCCTGTATAAGATTTCCAAGGAGCAGCTGGTGAGTTTGAACCACTGACCTTGCAGTTCAAACAACTTTGCGTCTGATGCATTAGCCTACAGTGCCACTCCCCAACTCATAGAATCCTTCAATATTGCAAGTCAAGGCTTTCTTTTCTTCTTCAATTATTTCAGTTTGAGAAATACTGTGTCCTCTATTGGTTTTCTAACTCCAGATCTTTGCATGTTTCATCAGGATACTTGACTTTGTCTTCTTGAGCTGCCCTTTGAAATTTTCTGTTCAGCTCTTTTACTTCCTCATGTCTTCTGTTCACTTTAGCATCTCTACACTGGAGAGCAAGTTTCATTGTCTCTTCTGACATCCATTTTAGTCTTTTCTCTCCTGTCTTTTTAATGACATTTTGCTTTCTTCCTGTATGATGTTCTTGATGTCATCCCACAGCTCTTCTGGTCTTTGGTCATTAATATCTAATGCATCAAATCTGTTCTTAATTTAGGTGAGATATGTTCAAGATTATATTTTGGCTCTCTGAAATTGGTTTAATTTTCTTCAGTTTCAGCCTGAACTTGCATATAAGCAATTGATGGTCTATTCCACAGTCTTCCCCTGACCTTGTTTTGGCTGATGATATGGAGCTTTTTCACTGTCTTTTTCCACAGATGTAGTCAGTTTGCTTCCTGTGTATTCCATTTGGTGAGACACATTTGTATACTAGTCTTTTATGTTGTTTAGAAAGCTATTTGCCATGAGTCAATCATTGCTCTTGCAAAATTCCATCATGCGATCTCCAGCATCATTCAATTACCAAGGCCATATTTTGTAAATACCAACCCTTCTTCTTTGTTTCCAACTTTTACATTCCAATCACCAGCAATTATCAATACATGTTGATTGCATATTTGATTAGTTTCAGACTGAAGAAGTTGGTAGGTAACTTCTTCAATCAATCATCATCACTGACTGACTTTAGTGGTTGGTTAGTAAATTTGAATAATTTTTGGTATTAACTGGTTTTTCTTGTAGGCGTATGGATATTTTTCTATCACAGTGTTGTATTTCAGGACAGATCTTAAAATGTTCTTTTTGATGATTAATGCTATGCCATTCCTCTTTAATTTGTTGTTCCAGCATAGTAGACAATATGCTTGTCAAAATAGCCAATACCAGTTTTTTTTTTCAGCTCACTAATGCCTAGAAAAGGAGCACTGGTAGCGTAGTGGTTACAAATTGGGCTGCTAACCTTAAGGTTGGCAGTTTGAAACTACCAGCCATTCCGTGCAGGAGAAAGATGAGGCTTTCTGCTCCCATAAAGATTTACAGCCTTAGAAACCCTGTGCAGGGTCACTATGAGTCGGCACCAACTTCAAGGTACTTAACAACAACAACAATGCCTAGAATATTGATGTTTATGTGTTCCGTTTCATTTTTGCCAACTTCCAACTTTCTAGACTCTTGCTTCGTACATCCCATGCTCTGATTATTAATGGATGCTTACAGTTGTTTATCCTCATTTTGGGTTGTGCCTCCTCAGTTCTGTTGGTGTTATCATGGTCAAGTCTGCTTAAAGGAGGCAGCTCTTCCCCAGTCATATTTTGAGTGCCTTTCAACCTGAGGGGCTCATCTTCCAGCACTGTATCTGACAATATTCTGGTGCTATTTATACTGTTTTGGTTTTCCGGCACTATATCTGACAGTATGCCCCTGCTATATTTAAGGTTTTCAGTGGTTAAACATTCAGGAGTAGTCTGCCACCCATTCTTCCTAGTCTGGGTTAGTCTGGAAGGTGTTGCTGTGGTGCCCGTGGTATTTTGAACACTAGTAATTGTGGGGTCTATTTACTGACTGTGGAGACATGGTAGTACAAACAGTTAAGCACTTGGTTGCTAAACAAAATTTGGTGGTTCAAACCCAACCAATAGCTCCAAGGGAAAAAGA